GATCCTGCTCGCGGTTATCTCCCGCCTCCACCACCACTGGCCCGCGCCCTCGGGGGCCCCCGCCGCCCCCCAGCATCTCCGGGGTCTCCCCCACCCATTCCCGCCAAATACAGGGACCCCCCTCAAGGAACCAAGTTCTCCAGGGGTGTCCAAGCAAAAACGTTCAATTTCTCTCTTTTTTTTTCTTTACCCAGTAACTCAGTCTCAAGGCCCAGAATCAAAGGGAGAGAAGGAGGGGGAAAAAAATCACACTAGTTTTTAGCACAAAACCATGGATTTGGCCATTTTGAGCTGATTTTGTGAGAACTGAAGAGTTTGGGGTTTTTTTTTTTAACCTGTACTCCTGAAACACTAGGTTTTTATTCCAAACTTGGATAGAATGGAAGGCGCCCAGATAAATGCTTGTTTTTATTCTCTTTGTTGCTGTCTCTAAAAGAGATGGAAATGCACTTATTTTAACTTAGAAATTACCAACGTTTTTTAAGTAGCAATTTGATAGTGTGATATTTGGTGATCTCTGGAAGATGCCCATTTCTCTAGAAAAGGAATCTGGAATAGGAGAGAGAGAAAGGGAAAAAAAATACTTAATTTTTACAGATCAGATGGCTCCCTTGTGAAATGTTGAAGCTTGATGGCTTTAAGTTTTTTGGTTGTTTAATTGCAATTGTCTCTTTACCATCTTACTCCTAAAGAGAATGTTTGCAGTCCTCTTGAATTCTTTCCCTGTTTATAAATTCGGGGAAATGAAATTTTAAAATTTATTGAGTTCCAACATTTTTTAAATTTTCTCTTAGGGATTATGGCTGATAGGCAGGTAATGGTAGCAAGGTTTGGGCCTCTCTTAAATTTTGGAACAGCCAGGCCTAGCGTTGGGCACATGGTGGCTGTCTTACGGGTACTGGAGATTGTAGAACTTAGTTATTTAACATTGGAATAGCTGCAAAGATTTTTAACTAATGAGTGTCAGATTTATAGTGAAAAGTTAAATAGGTTACCTTTTGAAAGTTAGCTAATAATGTCTTTTTCATGATTGTACTCTT